TTCTAGCATCGTGGACACAGGCCTGCAGGTTTCTCTCTGGTTTCAGTATCCACGTTTCGGGCACACGGTGGCGCCTGCGGACTGTGGTGTTGGGGCAGTGGTTGGTAGCAATGGAATATCTACAAACGTTTCCCCCACAAATTTTAGAAATGAAAGAGAAACGGGTTGTTGTGTTGTGAACAAGTTGACAGGTGTTTATGGCATATATCGACAGTATTTATGTATTGTAGTAGGTTGTTGTAGATATTTAGGCCTTTGAATGAATGCGGTGGAGATGTTGGAATCCTAATGACAAGACTGCCGTGGCGTGATTGGGAAAAAGTGTATGTACATGTCTCCATCTGAATGAGAGCCAATATGATAGAAATCACGGCAAAACTCGTTCGAGGACCCGTGTATTTCTCCGGGGAGATCGTAGAATGTTTGGTCACGTTCACTAATCCTCCGAATCCAAACCATCAAATATCGCAGAGCCACAGGTAAAGGGTCGACGACGCTAGTCGACGTTGGCCTTGCTGTTTGTCAATTGCTGATTGTCAACGTCAATTGCTCTTTCCACAGCGATTTGTTTGAGAGTCTCGCGTGGGCGAGCGCACAGGTCCATTGTCAGTGTACAACTAACAGCAAAATTGTCCTTTTGGAGAAGATAAATACTGCAGCTCGCTCAGTGGCGATTAACGCAAGTACGTATTCAGGAGAGATACCTTGGACTCCTTTTTTGTCTTATTTCTATTTGTTATATGCTCATATTTATTACAACTTTGTTACAGACACCACTTTTGCACCGTGGCAACAAGACAATGGACACGTAGTACTGAACACAAAGCCAAAAATTTTGTGCTGTGACCTGAGACTGTCACCTGGGGAAAGTAAGACCTGTAAGTTTCTCATTATTCTGGTTTTCATATTTGGAATTGTGTTCTTAATATCTCTATTTAATAATTCATCTCGTGTACCTTGTGTTCGTCAAGTTCAATCAACTCTTCTTTAAACAGATATTTATCGTGAAACAATACCGAGCGACGCTCCGCCCTCCTACAGAGGACAAGCTGTGAAATACTCTTACAAGATCACCATTGGAACGCAAAGAGTGAACACAGTTATAAAACTGCTGCGAGTACCATTTAGAGTTCTCTCTTTGAGTGGTAACGTTTCTAGAGATTTTGGATAATGTACAGTCAAGCCTAACCTACAGTGTGCTCTCAGCATCTAGAAACATTCTATTTTGTAGTCAATAAATAGGTTTAAAAAATTTGCGTGAATTAATAAACTGTTTCTAGATGCAGTAAGCACATTGTAGGCTTTATAAGACTGAAATGCCTCTGTGGCACGAAGCTTATTTTATATGTTGCTTTACAGAATTGCCCGAGATAACAGCGTGTAACGACAGCGTAGATCTGAGTCCGAACAATCCGTTTATGGAGACGCAGAACAGGGAAACTCCGCTTGATATCGCTCTACAAACGCTGCAGGTTACACGCCATTCTTGCACTTGAATTTGATTTGAAAATTTCATATAGCGCTTTAATGTAACTATGTGTTCTAACAACGTTTCAGAACTTGACAGCCAGACGCAGCCCAAACTTTTACAACGTGACTAACGGCCGCGGGCGCGTGGTGCGGTTCTGCCTCTTCAAGAATTCCTACAAGCTCGGCGAGGACATTGTTGGTACCTTCGACTTCTCGAACGCGACCGTGTCCTGCGTTCAAGTGTCCGTGTCCCTGCAGTCGGAGGAACACGTGTCCGAGGAGTACAAGCGAGGCAAGAGCGCCACGCCGACGCTTATCAGCTACAATAAGCATCACGAGATGTGTCTCGGTCTCACGTATTCGCATCTGGTACTACCGATACCCTTGCACGTCACGCCGGACTTTACTACCGACTTGGTGACGCTCAAGTGGCGATTGCATTTCGAGTTCGTCACGACGCCGAAATTGATGGACATGCCGAGCGAGAACACCATAAGCTGGCACGGTCCGTCGACTCTGGATGTCGAAACGATGATCTGGGATCTTCCACTGCACATCCATCCGACCACCACTCCGCCGAACATGGCGCAACAGACGAAATACAACACCGTCATATAGGTAACATAGCGCGTGTTACCTGTCCGGTGCACGTAAAAGAAGCGAATCATCGCTGCTTCCAACGCAGCCAACAGATTACAATATAATTAGACTTGCAGTATTTGTGCGTTTCGTGACTTTCGTAAGGTTGGTACGTGATCATTGTTATTATTTCACGATAGTTTAGAAAACAGTTTTTATTCTGTACGATAATTTATTACACGAGAAAGATATATTTTCATACATTTATGTACATAAATAAAAAAAAGTGTTACGTAATAAAGGAGAAAAAACGTTAGAATAATTTGAGCACTTTTATAACTAAGATAAATTTTATAATAGCGCCTTTATCGGCATTTGCTCCTGCTCGGAGCGATGGTCTCTCCGCAGACTAATGACTTTGCAGAAGTGATATAATATACTATTACAGCGACGAAGAAAAATAAACAGGCTACTTTAATCTTTATAAATAACGCACGCTCGTATAAATTCTTCTTTTTCATGATTTATGAGAATATTCTTTTTAACGTTTTTACGTTTTCCCGCAATCTTATCTCTCCTATTTTTCTCAGGATTTTTTCTCCAAATGTTTACTGTTTCGTTCGCAAAAACTTGCACTCAGTAGAAGTAAATCCCGTATAAAAATTGGCAATGAAAATTATTTTGCAATATCTTATAAATTTCTGAAACTTCTTTTCACATCGAATATTACTAATGCATACGTGTACACGTTAAAACAATTGCTATTTACATGATTCTTAATATCCAAATGTTTTCGGGGTCAACAGATCCAAGTCTGTGATAAAAATTGCCAAGTTTAAAGTAATAATTCCAATTCCTTTGTCGAAGGTAAAGATCTTGCGTTTTTCATCAAGAATGTTTATTCATCCTAAAAGGCTGAATATCTCGAAATCGTATACAAAAGAAACTATCAACTTTTTAAATCCATCCATTTTTTACGGAATTCGTTCTCGCAGCGTTGAGCTAGTGACGTGCTTCGTAGAACTGTCGGTCCTCCTGATCAACCGGCAGTCTCGGCTGCAGGGGCGGTACTAAGGTCGGCGGCGACGGGGTGGTGAAGGGCGCGTGATAATCGTATCGGTAGTAAGCCAGGGACTCCCATCGGGTTGCGGGCGGATGTTGCACCTCGAAAGACGTCGGCGGACCCGGTGGGGCCGCGTAGTAGCCGCTGGCGCGTTCTGGCACGCCGGGCACATAGCTGTACTGCGGCTCCAGCAGACTCTGCAGGTGCCTGATGTAGGTGATGGCGTGGCGCAGCGACTCGATCTTGGAAAGCTTCTTGCCGGGCGGCTTGCATATCGGCAGCTTTGACCGCAGCAGCTCGAATGCGCGGTTCATGTCGCGCATTCGGGTCCGCTCGCGATCGCACGCCGACTTCTTGTAGTCTGAAATCGTTAATTACACCGGGGTTAACGACTGTTCTTGCATGCGCACTCATCGTCGTTGTCCGGGTGTATTATCGCGCGACAACGACTTGCCCCCCGAATGACGGAACGAATCGGTTTTTCCGGGCCGGACGAGCTTGAAACTTTTTCGTCGAGGGCAAAGATTTGAAAGATGAAGAACTCGAACTCTCTCTCCAGCTTTTTAGAAAAGCACAGTGTACGAGAAGTCCTTTACGGAATCATCTATCTTGTAAGGCTAATATTACATTTGTCGTGCGAC